CCCCCCAATCTATCTCCAGGATTTAGCTTAAATGTCACCATTCCAAAGCATTCCTTAGTCTCCATGCATGGAAGTTATTTATTGACATCTCTGAATCACCATAGCAATTTGTATTTATTTAACATCCACTTATATAGACCTTATTATGTGCTAGGCTCTGTTGTAAACACTTTTCAAATATTAATTTAATTCTCATTAAGGTAAGTACTATTATCNCCACTTATATAGACCTTATTATGTGCTAGGCTCTGTTGTAAACACTTTTCCAATATTAATTTAATTCTCATTAAGGTAAGTACTATTATCATCCTATTTTATAGGAATATTTTTTCTATGGCATTTGTTATTTACTAGCTATGTAATCTTCTTACCTAAACTCCCTGTTTCTCAGTTACCTTATCAGTAAAATGGGTATAATATTAGAAACAACACTATGGAGATTATGTGAAGTTATGCATGTAAAGTATTTAACAAGAGTGCTTAGCAAATATTGAATGTTCAATAATGTTAACTGTTATTTATTGCATTTTTTAATGTGTTGATACTGTGCTAAGTATTTACATGTATTAACTCATCTACTTCTTCTCATAACAGCCCTGGCAGGTAAGTCGTGTTATTATCCCCATTTTACAAGTGAAGTAACACACAAAAAGGTTAAGTAACTTACCCAACATCACATGACTGAGATTTGAACTGTGGTCCAGAGACCGTGTTTTAACCACTATATTAACAGATGTTAATTATTATTGACCATACTTTGTATTATAATTATTTTGTGCTTATTTTATTCCCCTCCAAAATCAAACATCCTAAAAACTAAGGCCATGTCTAACTTTTTTGGAGAGCCCCTCAGAGTTGGCACTCAGTATATAATTGCCATTGACTAAATGATGGAAGGCTTTACTTTTTTACATAGGAAATAACATTTATTTTAAGCAAATATCTGACAATTAGACCTTTCTAGATATAATTATGAATTTCATTTTAAAAACTTCTGAAAACATATTCCCATTTATACTGTATGACTTACAAAATCTGAGAGTGTGTGAATGAAGCAGAAAGATATTTATTGTAGTCAAGCTTGAGGCTGTTATTAATTCCCATTGTGCCAAACATTTTATGTACATTATAATTTAGTCCTCACGAATCCCTATTGGGAAGGTATTATTATCCTTATTTTACAAATGGGAAAACAGTCACAGAGAGGTTAAATCACCTGTCCCAAACCACCCATCTGTTAAGTGCTAGACCGGAAATGAGAACCTATATCTGTCTATTCTGAAGACTGTACTCATGACTGCCATGCTTGATTGCCTGGTTATCTGTTTCTCTTAAGGTAGAGAGAACCACTCCTATCTAAAAGGACAGCGCTAGAGATAAAATAGTTCACTTACCATATCTTTCTCATATCAAACTTTGCCAAGGAGATATGCAGAAGATATAGGCATGGAAAGGACCATGCAGGATATACACTGAATGGAAAGAATTTTGAGGGACAAATTAGCAATAATATGACAGTTTAAAAAACTGAATGAATTATCCACCATTACTGATCAAAACAGGGAATAAACTACCGATAAAATATAGATGAGTCAGGCAGACGTTATGTTGAGGGAAAGAAGAAAGATACAAAAGGTTACATACAATATGATTTCATTAATCTGATGCTCAATATAGGTTAAACTAATCTGTGGTGATAGACATTAGAACAGTAGAGTGGGGTTGACTGGAAAAGGATATGCATGAACTTTCTGGGGATGATGAAAATATTCTGTATCTTGGTTTGGGGGTAGGTATACATTTGTCAAAACTTATCAAACTGTGCTCTTAATATATATGCATCTCACAATGTATAAATATACCTTAAAAATGATAAACAGAAGTTTTTTATTGAGGTATAATTGACATAATAATCAGTTTCAGGTATATAACATTGATTCTACATTTGTAAATATTGTGAGTAATCACATTAAGCCTAATTTGACATTTGTTACAATATATAGTTACAAAATTATTTTTTCTTGTGATGAGAACTATGAGGTGTGTATTTTTGTACTCATTTTATAGAAGAAGAACCTGAGGCTCAGGGAAATTAACTTGCCTAAAGTTACCCAGTGAATAAATGAAAATGCCAAACCCAGTCCAGATATTTTTGACTGCAAATCTCATAAAACTTTCAAGACCATTGGAGTGGCTTTCAGGTTGGGATTGTCACTGAAATTCATAAGACAGAATAGATTTACCAGGCATGAAGTTTATGTCTCCTTAAGGGATACAGAATAAGGAGCAGAGCAGCATGGAGGGCTAACAGTGTCATAACGGCCTTGGACATACAGAGCCAGTGTCCAATGTCCCAATCACCATTTTGGTTCTTTTTTTTTTTAACTTTATTTAGTTGTCTTTTTAAAAAACATATGTTTTTATTAACTTTAGAGAGAGAGGGAGAGAGAGAGAAACATCGATTGGTTGCCTACTGCTCGCCCCCTACTGGGCATGGGCTGTGACCGGGAATTGAACCAGTGATCTCTTGGTGCATGGAATGACACTCAGCCAACTGAGCCACACCGACCAGGGCAGGGTGAGTCTTCTTTTAAAAGCAACTTAGTTTTAAGAGAGAGAAGAAAGAACATGAAACCTTCTAACATTGTCAGACAGACAGATAAGAGGGAGGGTGGTCACTGGACAGGGCCTTCCATGTCAGATCTTCTCCGTCTTGGACATGAGGTCACAGATTCTGGTCAGTTCATTGTTTTCTCTAGTTTTCTGCTCAGTGGTCTTCTCCAGCAAGTGGATGTGCACCTGTTCCTTTCTCAGGCTCACCTGGAATGCCAAGGCCTCCACTTGGGCCTTGTTGGGGACCTTGGTGATCTCCTTGTTTGCCTGCTTGAGTTTCTCTTCTGTGTGGGTCTTCAGCACATGGTATCTCTGGCCTTCTTTCTCATTTCTTAGTATATAATCCTCAACGCACTTCTTCAGTGATTCTTCATTCTTGCAGTAGCCTTCAGTTACCTTCTTCTGCTTCCCAAATTGCTTGAAGAGGTCAGAGAAAGATTTTTTCATTGGGTTAGAGTCCACAGTAAGTTGGTCTTTTTCTTTCAGAACCTTCTGGATTTGGGTTTTGGCAAATTCCTTGTTTCTGAACTTTATCCATTGCTTGGGACATGACCTCCTAAAATCCATCCAGGGTCTTATCTAGCTGTAGGTTCTTTACATGGAGCACTTCACACCTGCTCTCCAGCAACAGGGTCTCCTTTTGTGTCACTTCCACTACCCTGTCTAGGTCCTTCTGGTTGTATTACAGCACGTCTACCATGGAAGCCCCATGCTAAGGACACATGGGGTTGGCCCCAGCACAGGAACACTCAGCTCCTAGGAAGTCAGGTTCCACCAGCACCACC